GATACATGCCAGGTTGCAGGCTGTATTGCTTTAATTGCTCGTGGGGGAAAAAACAGAATGCCACGTGATATGTAAATCTTCCCCGTTCACATATCATAGTTAATGGACTTTAAAGTCAAGTCTCTTTTTGCACTATTGTTTCATCAGTTTATGAGCAGCTGTGGTCTTGTGGCTTGATGTAACGCTTTAAGGCTCCATGCTGACAGAAATATTTCTGGAACAATAAAAATCTCACCACAGGAGGAGTGCTTTGGGATGTCAAAGGTTTACCAGTGTGGTTCAGGCCAAGGTTTACATGCGTGGTTCTGCAAGTTAAGCATCCCATACGCCTTACTTTTTGTCTCTCGTTTTGGCCCTGAGCTGTTTGCTACTCCTGCGTGACTTGCACAAGTTTAGAATTCTCCATGCTTGGGAGAAACAAGGGATTTGCTCTTCACAGAGGCTGCCGAACAGACCGCCCCACTTCCATGCTAAGCGGCTGTGTGTTCTTTTCTGTTTCTAGTAACTCATCGAAGATTTCCCTAGAAAACATGAGAAGGGAGATTATGAAATCAATGAGCACAGAGCTGCTGCACAAGATGAAGACAGTGCGGGAAGGGAGAATGACACACAGGAAATGAGTGGTTTAATTTAAGCCTTGGAAATTTCAGAATTATAGATCCTACTAGTTAAGCCTAAAGAATTATACCTTGTCACTACAGATCTCTAAGCAGAGCTCCTGAAATTCTGAAGCCATTCAGAACCAGCTGGAAGCTGCAGTAAGATTTTGCAACAAATTATAGCAAATTTAAGAGCACGTTAAGCCTTGCAGGGAAGAGGGCAGCAAAAATAGAATAAATTAATGCTAGTAAAAGGGTTAGGGGGAATTTACAAATATACGACTATGTCAGAGGAAAACCTACACTAAGGACTAATATATAGCTGAGATACTGAACATCCTCTTTAACCATGCCTTTAACACTTAGCTATCATCTCATTATGACAATTAGAACCACAGAATCAAAGGGTTCGAAGGGACTGCAAGGGTCATCTAGTCTAACGCCCTGCCAACATGCAGGATTTGTTGTGTCTAAACCATTGTGTATTAGTGAGGGATAATTCTGCGCTACTGAACTTTCAGGGGATGCTCTAGTGCTAGTCAAAATCATATGCAGCAGTAACAATTAAAATTCAGACACACTGACAAATATTAGATTTGTCAACTCCACTGAAGAGGATGGTAGGGAGAGGAGCACAGAACTTCATGACCGGGAAATGATTACTACTAGCCCAAACTGCTGAGATTCTCTTACTTGTGCATGTAAAAGAAGATATAGCCACTTCGGTCTCTATCACACTGCACAGAGGCCTCTAGCGTTCTAGACACTTCTAGGTCATTGTAGGTGAACCAGGACTGTTTCTTGATATCATAGACATCACTAATATAGTGGCCTAAAAAAATAAAAAGAGAAGCCATATTTATTTTCATGCTATAGTTCAAAACAAATCAGTAAGTGGTTTCTAGATACCCCGTTGCAGTTAGCGGACATTTAAATACTGAAATGCCATCATGTTGTACAAACCACTTATAGACTAAATGGATATTTTTGACTAATTCATGTTAACTATTAAAACAGATCTTAAAGCTTTTCTGCATCTTCAAAGAATACTACAACCATTTTCAATGACATTTCTTTAATCTCCACATGAACAGAGAGAGACAGAGAGACCAAAGGTATCATATTCCCTACCTGAAGAGGATGTGCTTCCAATATGGCTGACAATGCTGATGAGACGATAGGAATGAGGGAGCTCTCCTACCTGGAAAATACAATCCAATCATTTGCTTTTAAATATGCTCTTAATTCCACTTAGCTCAGAACAGGCCTTACAGCACATTAGAATATGGCTTTGCGTACTTGGTACACAAAGTTCAACTGTTTGAGAAATGTGATCAAGGAACATAGGAACTGCCACACTGGATCAGGCCAGGAGGAAAAAGTGTCCCTTTAAAATTGGGAAATGCCATATGATTTTGTTTGTTTTTGTTTCCCCATTCACCAGTCTGCCAACAGAACAGCAACAAAGTAGTCATTGTTTTGATTCCAAACCAGTAAGATGATACAAGCTGCTCTCCATTTTGCTTTGCACTGCCATTTGTCTAGACAAGCTATTTCCTGAGTCACCACTTTCCATTGATATCAATAAGTTCACAGAGAGAAGTTAAAAGAAAAATCAAAGAGAACTATATTGATTTC